TCTGCATCCTTCTCAACCCCTCCCCCCCCCAAAACAATAGCCGGGTGCTGCTGGCTCATACCTGTAATCAAATGATAGAGAGCTAGCCTTGAGCTGAAGAGCTGAGGGATAGAGCCCAGGCCCAGAGTTTAAGCCCCAGGACTGACAACAGAAACAAAAACAAAAAACCATTTCAAACATATTCATGGGGGAAGCCAAAACCAGCACCTGCTCCACCCTCCTTAATCACCTATTCTCCTTTATCACAGGATTCTCTTTTCTTGGCGTCAGAGATAACCTCATAAGCTCCAGAAATCTGTTTAAACTTTTCTCCTTCGTTTGGATTCAAGATACTAGTTTTCTATAAGCCTTTTTCAATTCTTCCTGGGTGGCATTGGGTTTGACTCCCAAAACATAATAGTAAGTGGTTTCATCATTTTCTAGGGTGAGTGGGCTGGGGCCAGTAGGGGAGCAGGAAGGAACATAGCTATGTGCAGCTAGGCATCTATTGCTCTTCCAACCTCTCTCAGAGCATTCCAGTTCCCAGTCTTTTTTTTTTTTTTTAACAGTTCTGCTTCTAGAATCTTTTTAAATTTATTTATGTATGTATGTTGGTTGGTTGGTTGGTTGGTTGGTTGGTTGGGGGGCTTGAACTCTGGGCCTGGTTGCTGTCCCTGCATTCTTCAGATCAAGACAAACATTGTACCACTTGAGCCACAGTGCTATTTCCGATTTTCTGGTGGTTAATTGGTGATAAGAGTTTCATGGACTTTCCTGCCCAGGTTAGCTTTGAACCATGACCCTCAGATCTCAGCCTTCCAGTAGCTAGGATTACAGGCATGAGCTAGTAGTCCCTGGCTAGAATCTCATTTTAAGGGTAGAATCATTAGAAAATTTGGATACTTCAGTTACGGTTAGCAACCAAGCACAGGTTCCTTGCAGCTGTGTTAGCCCAGATTTGGTGATTGCACAGATACTGATTCCTACTGCATCGATAGTCAGGTATAGCAGGAACAATAACTTAATTACATTAATGTAGTGTTCCTTTAACCCAAGTGTTCCAATTCTGACTTTGAAGTTGTAAATAATTTTCAACTTGATCTTGATTATTTACAAAACAGGACTGCTTTTCTTTGCAGTTTTTGCAGTCATCATGGCAGATAATTTTAGTATCTACATAGCTTTTCTTGATGTCATATAGTTTGTATTCCAGTTGCCTGGCAAATTAGACTAATGACCTGTTTCAGGAAGAATAGAATGGGAAGAGACTCATAATTAGGAAGAGAATACCCAGATCACTGAATTAATTATATTTGTCTTCAAATAAGTAATCAAATAAGTCTTTCTATTACATTCTCTAATAGAAATTTACTTTTTTCGTGTGTGCCAAACTGGGGCTTAAACTCAGGGTGTAGGTGCTATCCTTTAGTTTTTCTGCTCAAGGTTGGCATTCTCCCATTTGAACCAGAGCTCTTTGGTGGTTAATTGGAGGTAAGAGTCTCAAGGACTTTTCTGTTTCTTTTTTTCTTTTTTTTTGGCCAGTCCTGGGCTTGAACTCAGGGCCTGGGCACAGCTTCTTTTGTTCAAGGCTAGTGTTCTACCACTTGAGCCACAGCTCTACTTCTGGCTTTTTCTGTGATTAGTTTGAGATAAGAGTCTTATAGACTTTTATGCCCAAACTGGCTTTGTACTGCATCCTCACATCTTAGCCTCATGAGTAGCTAGGATTATAGGTATGAGCCACAGGCATCCACTGTGGCTCTTTAATTTTGCAAGTGCAAATAGATAAGTTCACCTGCAGCTGTAATGTGGTTTTGTCGCCAATGGAATGCTGTCCACAAAATATCAGGGTTAATACCTATCTCCATAAAGTTTCATATAGTTCCAGAGTGGTGAGTCCCACAGAGACCATGTGCTGGGACCATGGGTTCCTCCTGCCTTTGAAAAGAGCCTTTTGAGTTTTTAATTTAAATAACAAGTAACGAAGTATGTGCATATTTTAACATGTATGTATGTGTGTGTGTGTGTGTGTGTGTGTGTGTGTATGAGTCCTTGGCTTTAACTCGGGCCTGGGCACTGTCCCTGAGCATTTTTACTCGAGGCTAGCACTCTAGCACTTGAACCACAGCTCTACTTCCAACTGTTTGCTGGTTAATTGGTGAAAAGAATCTCATGGACTTTCCTGCCAAGGCTGGCTTTGAACCACAATCCTTAGATCTTAGCTTCCTGAGTAGCTAAGATTACAGGTGTGAACCACTAGCATCCAGCTACACTCCCTAATCTTTTTTTTGGGGGGGGGGGGGGTCCGTTCGTGGGGCCTGAACTCTGGGCATGGGTGCTGTCCCTCAGCTCTTCAGCTCAAGGCTAGTGCTCTACCATAGTGCCACAGCACCACTTCCGGCTTTTTTCTTTTTGCTTATGTGGTGCTGAGGAATCGAACCCAAGGCCTCAGACATGCAAGGCAAGTGCTCTACCACTGAGCCCCCTTCCCAGCCCCCTTCCTAATCTTTTTTAAAAAATTAATTTACTTTATTGTTATTATAAAGGTGATGTATAGAGGGTTTATAATTACATGAGTCAGGTAATGTACATTTCCTTTCACATGGTGTCTTTTGTTCCCTCACTGTCTCTCAGTCCCTCCCTCCCATCTCCAGCCATGAGTTGTATAGTTCACTTTCATCAGTGTCCTGTGAGCTCCACTGTTGCACTTTTTCATCCTTTTCCCCTCGAGTTCTGTGCACTCCCCCCAATCCTCCCATAGATATGCATGTGAATATACCATACATAAAGAAAAGAAGACAGAATCATCAAAAAAGAAAATTAAAAGAAAAAAGAGCAATCTTGTTTCCATATCTTAGAGCTCAATTCAGTAGTATTATTTTATAGAATATATCAATATGTATTTATATAATATTATCTAAATATAAAGAGGCACATAGACATTGTGCCTTTGTGTTTTTCTCCTTGGAATATCCTCTTTTGGTCTCACTGTGTGTATCTAGAATCCTGTATAAGTTATCATATCCCAGTGTATCATTTTTCTTCACTATATTACAGAAAATATATATTGAAATATATACCAATATATATAGGTATATATTTCAATATATATTTGTATATTATTTCTACTTACTGTAATTTGTAGAGTCCTTGAGGCCTATTTATTCAGAAACTAATGGAGATGTTTTTGTTACTGGTTTTTTCCCTCCCTTGCCCTATTTAATTTTTTTTTTTCTGCTCAGGTTGTCCGTTATTACTTTTTTTTTTTTTTGGTTTTAAAGAGTACATTTGAGTATCAGCAGCCAAGTACAATATTAGCTTTCTATTTTATTTTATTTTTAATTAAAAAAAATCACCTTGGAGGGCTGGGAAGGTGGCTCAGTAGTAGAGTGCTTGCCTTGCATGCATGAGGCCCTGGGTTGGATTCCTCAGCACCACATAAGCAGAAAAAAAAAAGCCGGAAGTGGCGCTGTGGTTCAAGTGATAGAGTGCTAGCCTTGAGCTGAAGAGCTGAGGGACAGCGCCCAGGCCCAAAGTACAGGCCCCATGACCAGCAAAAAAAAAAAAAATCACCTTGGAGTCTGGTACTGGTGGCTCACACTTGTAATCCTAGTTACTCAGGAGGCTGAGATCTGAGAATCACAGTTCAAAGCCAGCCTGTGCTGCAAAGTCCATGATTTTTGTTGTTGTTGTTGTTCAGTTATGAAGCTTGAACTAGGGGCCTGGATGCTGTCCCTGAGCTCTTTTGCTCAAGGCTAGCACTCTACCACTTGGAGTCACAGTGGCAGTTCCAGCTATTTTGAGTAGTTTATTGGAGATAAGAGTCTCATGGGGACTTTCCTGCCTAGGCTGGCTTTGAACCAAATTATGATCCTCAGATCTTAGCCTCCTGAGTAGTTAGGATTACAGGCATGAGCCACTGGTGCCTAGCTCCATGAGACTCTTATTTCCAATTAACCACCAGAAAACTGGAAATTTGTGCTGTGGCTCAAAGTGGTAGAGTCCTAGCCTTGAGCAAAAGAGCTCAGGAATAGTGCCCAGACCCTGAGTTCAAGCCCCATGATAGACAAAAAAAAAAAAAAAAAAAAAATCCCAAACCCAGCAAAGCACCTTTGAGATAGAAAGCCAAGTCATAGAGAAGAAACTAAGGCAGTGAATGGTTATGGAAACCTGCAGAGCTAGAGAAAATGAGCATGCACTATTGGTCCAATTATTTTGTAGTGCATGCATGTTTTTCTTCAGGTGAAATAAAAATCTTACAAGAATAAAACACTATTCAATTGTAAAAGTATACAGAAAGCTTGGGTGAGTATTTTATATCCAGAGGGTAAACATCATGTGCTGTTAGGTGTGCGACAGAAATCCTGCCATATTGAAAGCCTTGATGACTATTGGAATTGAGCCTGTTTCTTTAGGAAAATGTTATTTTTGCTTGCTTAACAGCATTGTTATGTTTTGCTTTCCTGGAAAATGAGTAGAGATTATCAGAAGTATGTTTTCTTTTTTTAAACTCTGACTTCTAGGAGTGTATCGTAGTAGAATTTCTTTGTAGTTACTTTGTTTTAGTTCCATACTTTTGTATTTTATAAAGATACTTTATAAAATAAGATTATATAGGAGTGTGTGTGAGTGTGAGTGTATCTTGTTCTTTTAATTCCATAAGGAATTTTGTGAGGAAATAGAAAGTTCAGTCTTTGCTGAACCATTTAACTCAACTTTTTTTGTATATAAAGTTCTTTCCTTTATTACCTTATTTAGTTGCTATTTTTGTGTTAGGGTTTAAACTCAGGATTAATTTTTGCTGTGTAAGCATTCCACAACTTGAGCCCTATCCTTAGCCTTTTTTTTGATTTTTCTTTTCCTTTAGCTGTTTTTTGGGTAAGGTCTCTTACTTTTGCCTGGTGCTGGCCTCATGCTTCAATCCTTCTTCCTATAGCTTTCCATGTATGTGTTACCATGCCCATCTTTTTGATTGAGATGGGGTTCTTACTTTCTCTCTTTGTTTGGGCTGGCATTAAACCATGATCCTCTCCACCACTGCCTTCCAAGAAGCTGGTATTACATTTATGAATCACAATTGCCTGGCCTAATTTTTAATTTTTAATGGTGTTTAAAAGGAAAAACCTTCCAAGAAATTAGTAAGAATAGTCTAGTAGACATTGTTAGTAGTGATTGATGCAGTTTGACAGCTTGAAGATAATTTAAATTATCTTAGAATACATTTGAAAAATAGACAAGGGAATTTCTGTTTTTATTCCAATTTTCCATTTTTTTATTTTACATTGTTTACAACATGGGATTTATTTAAACTTTAGAATGGGCCAACAGTAGCTCAAAGAAGTATTCTAGGCTTGCGCAGAGCGGCCGCTCACATGTTCCTATTCTGGTGTTTGCTGGTTGTGGAGATGGCAGAGATGGAGACACAGAGTGCCACAATGGTGGCCGGCGGGCGAAGAAGCGACAGGCTGATCAGCTGTCCTCCGCGGGTAAAGACAGAAGCACTGGGCACATGGACACAGAAGAGGGCCGGCAGGCCAAGAGGCTTGTCTTTCCTCCCCTCGCTGGGGATGGATTCCTGAGTGGGAAAGAAGAAACACGGAAATTTTCAGTCCCAGCTAATAGATATACACTCTTAAAAGAAAACTGGATGAAGATATTTACTCCTGTTGTAGAACATTTGGGACTTCAGATACGCTTTAACTTGAAATCAAGAAATGTAGAAATCAGAACTTGTAAGGAAACCAAGGATGTTAGTGCTCTGATAAAAGCAGCTGATTTTGTGAAGGCCTTTTATTCTTGGGTTTCAAGTGGAGGATGCACTTGCCCTCATCAGGCTGGATGATCTCTTTCTAGAGACTTTTGAAATTACAGATGTTAAGCCCCTCAAAGGAGACCATTTGTCAAGGGCAATAGGAAGAACCGCTGGCAAAGGAGGAAAAACCAAATTCACCATAGAGAACGTGACACGGACACGGGTAGTTTTGGCTGATGTGAAAGTTCACATCCTTGGATTTTTCCAAAACATCAAAATAGCAAGAACTGGCATTTGCAATCTCATCCTGGGAAATCCTCCATCAAAGGTTTATGGAAATATTCAAGCTGTGGCTAGTAGATCCGCAAAGCGATTTTTATTTCATATCAGAGACTTTTTATCTTTGTACTTAAAAAAAAAAAAAAGCCCAGTGAAGCTGGGGCTAAAGTGGTAGAGCGTTAGCTTTGAACAAAAAAAGCTCAGGGACAGTGCCCAGGTCCTGAGTTCAAGCCCCAGGACCAACAACAACAACAACAAAAGCCCTGACATTCTGCAAATGTTCACACAAAACCATGTGGAGAATGTTTCAGTCACATTCAAGCTTGGGTCCCTTCCTCCATTCTCAGTCAGAAGCATAAACAAAAAGAGAAGGTTTAGGAGTATTCACATTCAACAGCTTATAGAATAAACATCAAAATCGAATACGATTATACGTTAAGTATACTTTAACATGTTTCTCACTTTAAATCGCATGTAGATTTGCAGTTTAAAATCCTCCCATTTATAGCAAACTTCTTTTTTTTTTTTTTTTTGCTTTTTTTATTGTGAAAATACTGTACAGAGGGGTTACAATTACATGGGCAAGATAATGAGTACATTTCTTATCAAGCATTGTTGCCTCCTCCTTTGTTTCCCCTTCCCATCCCTGCCCTCCCATCTCCCCCTACTCTCATGCCAAAGTAGCAAACTTCTTGCTTAAATCTTTCTTATGAACTTTGAAGTTTATCAATTTGTAAACAATTGTGCCCTGTAAATTGTAATTAAAAGAATTATCTCAGGAAACTTAGGAAGCATGACCCTAGTTAATTCCAACATTAGGTGAATATTATTGAATCAGGTTATAAGCAGCAGCTTTGGCTATGAACCAACCAATAAGTACTGATCTTTGTGCTTGTTTCATACTTTGTAAAATGGAAGACTTTGTATTGTAATGTTGATAGGAAGAAAGTTTTATTTATCAAATAAGTATTCAATGAAAGTATTCATTACAAATGTTGGGTATATTTCTCCTCATGACTAGTGCCTGCCTATTTAAATATAATGTGATTATTTTTAGAATGGGAGAAATCAAGCTTATTAAATGTGATTTGATACTGTATTCTCTTGTACATCTTAAATACCCTAACCAAACTTTTAATAATGAGAGTTTCAAGAAAATTCTGAAAAAAAGTACTTTTAATAAGCCTCTTCTTGGGCGCTGGGAATTTGGCTTAGTGTTAGAATGCTTGACTCACATGCATGAAGCCCTGGGTTCGATTCCTCAGCACCACATAAACAGAAAAAGCCAGAAATGGTGCTGTGGCTCAAGTGGAAGAATGCTAGCCTTGAGCATAGAGAGGCTCAAGGACAGTGCCCAGGCCCTGAGTTCAAGCTCCAGGACCGGCAAAAAAGAAAAAAAAATGAGCCTCTGCTTCCTCTACATTAGTGACTTGTGTTACTGTCCCAAGCTGTTTTGTACATTGCATGGGATTAGGTATACTTACATACTGTAAGGTCCTCCAAGGGATGGCGAGGTAGGCTCCTCCCTTCTTGGCTAAGTCTCCTCCCAGTACCTATGTCACCTAGGTAACTGGCACACCTGGAAGTCACATTATCTGGTGTGGCCACACCTTCCCTCAACTTCTCCCTGCCCTTTCCCTACTTAAACCCAGATCTGACCTAAGCCCACACCTTTTGGCCATGCTGCTGCACCATGCACAGTGGGGGCTAGCAGTTCGTTATTATAAACTTCTCTTCCTGTCTGGGGAAAAAAGTATTCTAAAAGAAGTGTTCTAAAGTATGGTTCTAAATTTAGAGTTCCAAGGTATGATTTTATAGAAAACAATGCCTACAGTTTAAACTGTACAGAAAAGTGTAAGAGTAAAACGTTTAAATTTCTGTTTCTCCAAAAAGCTATCATAGGGGCTGGGAAGGTGGTTCAGTGGTAGAGTGCTTGCCTTGCATGCCTGAGGCCCTGGGTTCGATTCCTCAGCACCACATAAACAAAAAGAAAAAAGCCGGAAGTGACGCTGTGGCCCAGGCCCAGAGTTCAGGCCCCACAACCGGAACCCCCCCCCAAAAAAATTACAGAAAGCTATCATAATTTTCAGTGCTTTTATAACTTGTAAAATTAAAATGTAGAACTTACATAAATTCTAACTAACCTTGAATTAGATATTTACATGACATATTTTGTACAGAAAAAATATTTCACTAAGAAAACATGCTTTAAAAACCTGTTTGATTAACATTAGTAATTGGAAAAAATTATTATGTAATAGAAAATAGATAATAATGAAAGGGAAGTGTAAGTTTAAAGCGATCATTTTGTTTAAATGATATTCTTCCTGGGCACTGGTGGCTCATGTCTATAATCCTAGCTACTCAGAAGGTAGAGATCTGTGGATTGAGGTTCAAAAACAGCCTGGTCAGGAAAGTCCATAAGACTCTTTTATTCTTTTTCTTTCTTTTTTTTTTTTGGTTGGTCATGGAACTTGAACTCTGGGCCTGGGCACTGTCCCTCAGCTCTTCAGCTCTAGGCTCGCACTCTACCACTTGAGCCACAGTGCCACTTTTGGTTTTCTGGTGGTTAAGTGGAGATAAGAGTTCTGAGATATGATTATAGGCACGAGCCACTGGCACTAGGCTTCTTTCAAAGCCAGCTTGGGCAGGAAAGTCTGTGAGATTCTTATCTCCAATTAACTGCCCAAAAGCCAGAAATGGCTTAATGGAGATATGGTTCAAAGTGGTAAAGCATTAATCTTCTTTATGCTTTCTTCTGTGGCTGAATGAGCAGGTATCTGACAACATGCCCAGCTTTTTCTTTGAGATAGGGAACATATTTATGTGGCCTGGGCTCACATGAACTGTGATCCTGATATCAGCCTCCCACATTGCTGAGATAGCAGGTGCAGGTGACTGCACCCAGCTGTTTGTTGACATGGGGGTAGGGAGTCCCATGAACTTTTGTCCAGGCTATCCTTAATAATAATCCTCCTAATTTCCTGTGTCATTACTAGCTAGGATTACAGGTGTGAGTTCTTGGCAATGGGCCAGAAAAGCTATCTCTCCCCCACCTCCCAGGATCTGTATATTTACTGTTCCCTCTATTTGGTCTTCCCCAGATAACTACTTAACTTCTTTAATTTCTTGAGGTCTTTCCTTAAAAAGTCACCTTCTCAGTTAAGTGTCAGTGGCTCAAGCCTATAAGCCTAGTTTATTCAGGAAGCTGAAATCTGAGGATTGTGGTTCAAAGTTAGCTTGGGCAGGAAAATCTGTGAGACTCTTATCTCCAATTAACTACCAAAAAGCCAGAAATGGATTAATGGAGATCTAGTAAAGTACTAGCTTTTGAAAAAAAAAGTTTAGTGATTGTGCCAAGGTCAAGTCCAAGCCTCAGGACTGGTGTGTGGCACACACACGCACACTCACAAAGTAATTCTTGTTTCCAAACTTCTATATGGTAGGATCTAAAAGCTAGAAATGAATAATTAAAAATCCTTTGTTGGTTAAAATACGTAGGTATTCAGTGTTGAATGGAGCTAGTGTTAATGTTTCACTTTTTTGAAAACATGGGTTATATTGACTTCTTTTCTGTTCCTCATTTATGACGATTTTTCCCTTTTGAAAAAAGAAAAAAAGGGAAAATTATTGTAAAGGCTTCCAGATTTTGTTAGATAAGCCTAAAGATACCCAAGAACAATTGATATTATGGGGAAGAAAATGTGACTCCAGGAGACTACTTTTAGGGGGCTGCTGTAGCTAGGGAGTATGACTCAAGTGGGAGAGAGCTTGTCTAGTTAGCATGGAGGAAGCTCTGGATTTAATCCTAAATACTGGGTGGGGAGAAGTGGGCATAGGAAGGCCTTGCTGATTGTTGATAGTATGAACCAGGTGAGACAGTATAGTCAAAGTAGGGAGAGGTGGGAAGATAGTGAATGTTTTTTTTTGGGGGGGGAGGGGGTCGGGTCGGGTCATGGGGCCTGAACTCTGGGCCTGGGCGCCGTCCCTCAGCTCTTCAGCACAAGGCTAGCGGTCTACCACTTGAGCCACAGCGCCACTTCCGGTTTTTTTCTTTTTGCTTATGTGGTGCTGAGGAATCAAACCCAGGCCTCAGGCATGCAAGGCAAGCGCTCTACAACTGAGCCACCTTCCCAGCCCCCAGTGAGTGTGTTTTGAAAGTAGACAGAACTGGGCACTGGTGGCTCACGCCTATAATCCTAGCTGCTCTGGAGGCTGATATCTGAGGATCACAGTTTGGTTCAAAGCTAGCCTGGGCAGGAAAGTCCCTGAGAAAAATAGAAAAAAACAAAACAAAAAAAGTAGATGGGTTGCCCTGAGATGACTTGGAAAGATATAAGGAATGGGGAAAAATGGAAATTGGGAGTAATTTTTGTTATTTCTTGTGTAAATGTTTTAGTATAAAATATAAATCCTAGTCATTAACAGTCTAATAATGTCGACTATCTAATATACAATTTCTATTTATTTTTGTCAGTTGTGGGGCTTGAACTCTGGGCTTGGGCACTGTTCCTCAGCTCTTTAGCTCAAGACTAGTGCTCTACCACTTGAGCCACAATGTCACTTCCGGTTTTCTGATGGTTTATTGGAAATAAGAATCTCATGGACTTTCCTGCCCGGGCCAGCTTTGAATTGCGATTCTCAAATCTCAGCCTCCTGAGTAGCTAGGATTACAGACATGAGCTACTAGTTTCCAGCTTCTAATATACAATTTTAAGGATTAAAAAATTATGGGGAGCCGGGCACTGGTGGCTCCTGCCTATAATCCTAGCTACTGAGGAGGCTGAGATCTGAGGATCTCGGTGCAAAGCCAGCCTGGGCAGGAAAGATTGTGAGACTATTTTCTCCAATAAACCACTAGAAAACCGGAAGTGGAGCTGTGGCTCAAGTGGTAGAGCACTCGCCTTGAGCTGAAGAGCTGAGGGACAGTGCCCAAGCCCAGAGTTCAAGCCTCACCACCGACCAAAAAAAAAAAAAAATTATGGGGAAGAGATGAGGGTCTCAATATTCAGCCCAGGTTGGTCTTGAACTCCTGATTCTTCTGCCTTAGTCATCTAAGCACTGGGATTACCACTACAACTGTGTATACCTTGAGAGAGTGCTATTTATTTATTTATTTATTATTT